CCCCAAAACCCCAAAACCCCAAAACCCCAAAACCCCAAAACCCCAAAACCCCAGCAAAGGATTTGACCATTGAGATCACAATTTCTAAATTTCATTAAAAACTTGGCAAGATGAATGCATAGGACTAAACTGAAGAAATCGAAGTGATTACAATTATTTTTAGATTTCAGGAGTCTAACTTAAGATTTTCCATAAGCTCAAGAGCTAAACAAGGTTCGGCTTATGGTATACAGGGAAAGCAGACATCCTTTTGTCATGATTGGGCTGCTTAGGGTCTTCCTATATATAACATCTGAGATTTACTGAGATGTAATCAGAGGAATTACTCTCTGAACTGCTTGATATGGAACTATTTGATTCCTTCTCATCTCCAATAGATTCTTTAATATCTTCAAGAATGCTGCCAAGATCATTCTTGATGAAGACACTTGGCCTGTGATGCTTTTTGGTGATAAGCTTTTTAATAACTAGAATATTCAGAGACCAGTTGTAAAGAAATGCTTACCACTTGCATCAACCTTTGTGAATCTCCTAGAGTAGTGAGGCTGAGCTTTTGGGACGTCAAGTCTCACCATTTGAGACTCTCGACGCTTTGGCCCTTTCTGATATCTACAATAGATTACTTTAGTTTTAATGATGCAGATAATATTCTGAGAATCCCAATAAATTTGGATCCTTCCTGACCAATAAAGCTTAGTTTTCTTAAGAATTACGATCTTCATATGCACTTACCCAGCTTTTGTCTTGCTAGTATTGCTATTGCGCTATAAAATGGTCATAATTTACCCTAACAAATAAAGTGTAAAGTTTGATAAAAGTAAAAGTTTTCAAATATTTGAAGAGGTTTTCGTCAATAATCCTTAACAAATCAGTGAGCCCATTCAAGCATGTTTAATTCATATGCTTTATAGAATCAGAGTCTTTAGAGAAAACATCATTTGAGAACAAAGAGAAGCTGAGTTATTTTTAGGTAACTCCTAAATCTAGGCAAGTATAATACTTTATCCATATTCTGATGAATAGTAAAAGATCACAATTAGAGGATTACATTGCTTGAAGGGTTTCTGACCTCCTCAGTCTTGATGCTCTTATATCATTTATTCATGTGTTCTGAGTCAGAATAAACTTCATTCTCTGTGAAGACTACTGTTTTCAATAGCTGATCCTTCTCTTTCTCAGTAAGGTTATTTATAGTAAATCGTCTAAGTGTGATCAGATTGAGTTACCTTTGGCCATTTGTATCAAAATTACTAAAATTATTCTTCCGTCTATGAATAATTCAAGTGAGATTTAGCCCTTAAGAGCAAAAGTTTGACCTGAAAGTGGCCTCTTACCTTGTAGTCCCTTTTCCATCTATGATTGATGGTGAATGTTCAAATGCAGTAATAGCTCCACTTTTGATTGTTCGTAGGACAGAATTTGAGGTGTTAGGAGAGAGATGATGCATCACACTGCCTCCATCTCCTCTTTTTGACCAATTTTCTTCTTTAGAGGATATCTTATTTTATAACCTTTTTCTCGTTATTGTCCATAGCTTGGACTTTGATCTTTTGTGACGTTTTATGCCGCTCATCTTCTTTGCTAAACAATGTTGTTAGCGTTACCTCAAGTTTGAGATTTGAATTTTAGAGTGATACTATATGAAAAGTAGGACTTACTTTGATGATTCGCCTTCACTATCAATGCTGTTGATCCTTCAACTATCTAAATCAAGCTTGTTATTACCTCGCACCAGTAAGAACAGATTCCTAAACAACAGCTTACACAATTTATCCATGGTTGCTGTATATCAGAAGAGTCTTCATACTCATGCCATTTTCTCAAGATCGTCAAAGTCTATACACCGAATAGATAGAAATTTATTCAGAAGTTTCAAATTCATGAATCTACTGCTCCATTGCTCTGCTTACCATAATACGAAAATATGCGATCGAGGAGGCACAGTATAGCCTCTCAAGGAGGGATCTGAAGTAGGTACTCTCTGCTCTTGACGCTATTTCTCATTTCATGAATCCATGTAGTTCATTGCATCTATTTTAGGTGTAAATTAGACAGTCAAAGCCCTCATGGGTATTCATTTCCTTACTTATTTGGACCAATTTATTTATACTGACTTGAAGTCTGGCTATATGTATAATTAGACTACTAACGAACACTATAAATTATAATTTTAGGATTGCTCCAGGAAATCCATGCATAGAATATTTTTACCAACCATTGTTATTTGGTGACATTCTGAAGGCATGCAGCATTGGGAATAGTTAAAGTCCAAAATTTGTATAAAAACTAAGAAGAATACTATTAAACTGCATTCGGGAGCTATCTAGGCTAAAACTAACCCATCATCGCTTTTATAAGCAAGACTTAGTTGATATGAAATAAGTCAGTTGAAGCCTACAACGGATACAAATTTACTTAATAGTTAGCTTCAAATATTATTTCGAGGAATCTCACACGCTGTTCTCGATTTTTATTTCACATTTATATTAAGTTAACACTAGGATAATTGTTTTGTGATTTTGAAATAACCAGTTTGAGCAAGCTCAAACTGGTTCAAATTCCATAAATTTATTAATAACAATGTTAGGAGTCTCCACAAATACAGTATTACTAGGTGAAGCTAGAACATTGGAATGAGTCGTATATCAGATATTAATACTACAGTGTTGCTCTGTAAGATTCTCAACCTAAAGCATGCAAAAGTAAGCTCACGAGAGGATTCGATTCCTGCGAGCAGGAATCGAATTATATGGAGAGACTCCTGAGCAATTTTTGAAAATGCTAGATTGTTATTTTATGCTGTATTATTAATAATATAAGAAGAATTTATAATAGCAATAGTGTTTGATGATAAAATATGTGATTAAACATCGCAAGACTCTAAATCAGGAGCTTTCCAATGTAATTTTGGGTATGAAAATATGGATTATGAAAAGGGAGATCAGGATTATTTCCAAGGAACTTATAAACGGACTGAAGGAACCCTGACAAATAACTTACCTTTCTATTCCGGTTTTATCTCGGCGAGGGACAGTAGTGTGCATTACAGAAACCTTGTACCTAAACCTCGATTACTCCTCAAAGAAGGGGCTTACTTTGCCTTTATTTTGATATTTTTGCTACTTCATCACCCACCCATTTCTATTATCTATTTTTCAATTATACAATTTAATATTGGGGTTTTGGGGTTTTGGGGTTTTGGGGTTTTGGGGTTTTGGGG